AGTTGTTGAGCGCAGTCGTGTACATTTTAAGTCATTTAACGCGCCGCTATGGAATAGGGACCATGAAATCCTGGAAAAAAAGCAATCGATCCATCCACAACACAATGGACCATGTTGAATACGCGGCTGGTTCTGGAGCAACTACTGAGACCCATCTCTCTGAAGAAAGATCATGATGCATAAGCGGGATTATATGCGCACCACATTCAAACAATTTTTTCTCGAGCCAAAGCTCGAGTGCATGGCGCAATCTGAAGTAGGGCTTTTTAAAAGTTTAAAAGCATATTCTTATAGAACTCGACGAGCTGAGTTCAACGCTTTTTTCAGATTTTGAAAATCTCAATTTTGAACCGAGTTATAACGAATTCACGAAATTAACGAGGATTCGCGTTATTCGCGTGAATTTTCGATTTCAAACGGCGAGTACTGTACACTATTGCACCGCCTCGGGTAAACGACGTGGTTATCGTCGCAGATGACAAGCTAGCACGTAGCCATTGGCCATTAGGTCTTCATTACAAAAATTAACTCTAGCCCAGATGGACACCCGCGCTCAGCAGAAGTACGCATGACCAATGGCAAAGTTCTCTGTCGCTCACTAGTGCACCTCTACCCATTGGAAATACGAGGGAAAACCGAGAGTGACAATAACCACCCCAATCCAGCAGGCGGGAATGCAGAATCAACACCCATGCGCAGGATTCAGCCAGGTAGGGTAGCCAAAACTAATCACAAATTTATCAACAAAAATATTTTGTCATGAAACGATCAAAAAAAACAAATCAAAGAGCACTTCTATGACAAAAAATAACGAAGTATAATCAAACACCCACCCGACTGTGCAAATGAAGATCAAGGTACCGTTCAGAGTTTTCGAGCCATCCAAATATTTGAATGCGCGGAAAGAACTGCATGCGTATCGACCAAAAAATCCGCGCACGCGCGAACGCGAAAGCAAACAATCTACATGCGGGTCCATTACCCTCTCAGCGACCCGAGCCAAAGCTTCCAAAACGCGAAGTGGTGGACCATCCCTCAATCCATCCGATCAGTAGCCACCTCTTCTGAAAGAATTTGCAGACTCGAATGAACGAATTGATGCCACTCCCATGCAACTCGTCCCTTTTTGGATCGATACACATTCTATCTTTCCACGGATCCACAGACTCGACCGTCGCGCATCTTTCAGCCATGGCGCAAGCTGTGATACTGCCTAACGCAAAACTTCTACATTCAAATTTACCGCACAGAGTCGACGCGCAGAGTCGACGCGCAGTTGATCTACTAACGCTGCATTGTTAACACCAGAGTCGACGCGCAGTTCCTCCACGCTATACTGATCATACTGATCAGAACCTAAATCATTCCTACATTTATCTTGCCGTCACTTGATTCGGTTTAACGGTTTAATGTTTACGTTCTCCAGGTTGATGCCATTGCAATAACCCATTTACTTCTCAGTATTGAAAGTCTAGTATCACTGCAGGAAACACGAAAGTAGTAACTCTGCTCATTTTTATGTAAAGTAACGAAATCACCATTTTCGAATCTGCAATCATAACGACGGCTCGATTTGTTTGTGAGCCAATATGGTGTCACCCTGAATCTTTCCATAGAGTTTAGCGAGTTCAACTAAGAATCCCAGTCTGTTCCGGGTGAACCCCTAATTCTTTTAAGAATTCGCATTCACAATGTCAAAAAGAAAATACTAATGTTTGACTTCGGAGAATTAGTGTGAAATTTTTGAGTCGTTAATTGTAACATCATCGACTTATCTCCGCCTTTGACAAATAAAACGGTTAACGGGCTAAGCAAACAGTCCAGTCCACCGACCCAATTATATGTCTAGGGCGCAAATTTTCGGAAACCATACTAGTTTGAAAAATGAGATTTCTCTCGCTTATCTCTATTCCCAGTTCCTATACGGTTCCCGTTCCATACGGTGGCCAACACTTTTACGCCTATGATCGTTCATAATGATTTGACAGATGTTAACCGAATGAGAAAAGCATGCTTAGATTAAGTGTGTGTTTGATTCATTGAGATCCACGATCCATTGAAATACGATTTTGTGCTTACTGAAACGGCAAAACGAGCGAATCCACTCGAATATTTATGCCGTAACCCACTCAACTTATCGATTATTTTTCATGATAGGTGTGGTCAGTTTGGAAAGAATGTTAAAACGTTGACAACAGTCTATTGCTAGCGCACTTATACACCCCTTGCTTACATTCAAAGGTGTCACTACACATTTGCCCATGCCCCTCAGCAATGAAGTGAGAAAAAATTGCCGTAAGCAGTCTCAAGAGGAGTCCGTATTCGGATCGCAGTAGGAAGGATCGCGCAGGAACTCGGCTCCCTCTGGCGGGACGACCCGGTCGTAACACACGTTCCTGGGCAACGGCTAGTCGTCATGGTCCGAGGGCGAGGAGCGTCCACAACCCCTAGTTAGGCAGGAGGCCAGCACGTAGGTTAATTAAATAGGACGTTTTTTTGATGAACTAGCGCATAAAGTGCTAATAGGTACCTTTGTTAAGTAGTGTAGCAATATTCAGTTATATTATTGTAGCAATGTTCAGTTTTTTATTGTAGCAATGTTCAGCAATATTGGTTCAGACCGCAATTTACCTCTTTGCTGCTGTTAAATGCTATCTTACATTTTCATCTGCATTTTGCTGGCCCCTTACTAGTGATTTCAAGTTGAATTAGGCTGGCTAACATGATCGGTAGTAACGGGGACCGCTTTACTGTCAGTCGAGATCACGAGTGTATGCAAGGTAGCCAAGGCTTGAAACCCAGGAAAGAAGGGGTCTCGTATACGATAGGACCGCGTCCGTGGAGTGGCAGGTGAGAGTTAGGACATGTCTTTGAGGTCGTAGTAGCACGCAACATCTTTAACGGGGCATTCATTCAGGGAAGCCATATCAGGCCGCTGAGACGGGCACCCAGCAAAACGTGGTGCATCGGGTTGTTGGACACTGCGGAACGCGTCCAGCCTAGCGATTCGGATTCTAGCACCCATAACCCCCTCCCTGGCTCGAACATGGATCTGTTCGGTTAGGTCCGAGCACCCACGGAACGCACATGCACGAAGTAACAATTAGGTCATACCTTCACCACCCTAGTGCCCGTACGGGTGTTTGACGCTAGAGTGGCACTAGTAGCCATACAACGCACGTGGCAGCCGCGGCTAGGGAACGGAAAGGTCTGCCCTCTGTAACATGGAAAGTGTCTTATGAATCGGCACTTGCGGTCAATCCAGGCAAAAATTGCATGGAGGGAACCCGAGGAAGGGAGGAACCTCCCTCATGTAATCTGGTTAGTGACGGTCCGAACCAGCTAGCTAGGCTAGGCTGCCCAGTGGCACCGTTCGTAACTTTGCATAGATACAGACTGTCCCTTCGGAGCGTGGCGTCCGGGTGGACTCGAGAACCACCCACAAAGTTCTTTGCAATCGTCAGGGCAGAATATAATACTGGAACCTAACCACGCTGTGCAAAGCACATGTATTAGGTTGTCTCATAAATAGTGTCGCTTTTTTTCAACCAAAAATTTTCATCTAAATCCCATGCTTTTACATCGAGTCATATACCATTCGAAAGAGAATTGTCTGCTCTACAAGGGTTGTGTTCTTCTTCCATCTATGTTCCATGGTTTTCAAATTTTAGGCCTGCGAAATGGGAGGTCCCGCCGACAAAAATTGACCAAACCGACAACTAGCTCTAACTTTATTTTCCCTTGCGGAGAAATCAATCAATGATGTACCCTCTACTTACTCATGACCTCTTCTGAACATTCCACCCTTAGGTTGCCGAAAAAGGTTTGCCCTGTTTCTTTTCGAATTGGCCGACCGATAAGCCATGGCAATTTTCAAATTGAAATTCTTCCTCTGAAACGCTATTGTTTTATATCAACTGGTGTATCTTTTGTGAGCACTTCTTCTGCTCTATTCGCTCATTTGTTTTGTTTTGATGTTTGTTAGGAATTAGCTCGAATTTTAGGTGTTTAGGAGTAAGGTGCTTTATCCACGAAAGTGACCGCATTTCTTTGAAAAAAATTATCCCTGAGAAGATGAGAAATCAACCAGGCGTACATTCCTAACTTAGTCATGACTTGTTCTTTAAATTCTACTAGTTTTTCAATGTCTCGGCTATAAAAAAATTTCGACCTCGATCTCAGGTAATGGTGCTTGACCGTCGAGTTCTGGTTGAAAACCAGGTCTGGAAATGGAACGACGCGACTTGTTGGGAAACCTAATAGTGTAATGTTTAGAAGAGGTCATGTGTAAGTAGAGGGTACATCATTGATTGATTTCTCCCAAGGGAAGATAAAGTTAGAGATAGTTGTCGGTTTGGTCAATTTTTGTCGGCTGGACCTTCCCATTTCGCAGGCCTAAAATTTGAAAACCCTGGAACAGAGGTGGAAGGGAATACAGCATCTTGTAGAGCAGACGATTCTCTTTCGAATGGTATATGAACAGATGTAAAAGAATGAGGATATAGATGAAAATTTTTGGGTTGAAAAAAAGCGACACTACTTATGAGACAACCTAATAGAACGTAATAACATCCTACTTGTCAAATTTGAACTATATCACACCTCCTTTCGTTATGATTATTATCGTAAGGCCAACGTCGCTTATCCGCAAATACCGTTCAGCCGCGAGGGGCTCATGGCCGGAGCCGCCTCACGGAATGACACATACTCACTTTCCCTTTTTAGATTTGGGTTAGGCAGTTACCACCTCCTGCCTCAGCGACTATTCATGTCGACTATCAGTGTATGTAAGGCCAACTTAACAAAAGCGCATTCAGCGCTTGAAGCAACCAAAGGTAAGATTCCGCAGAATCTTATCGACCCATTTAGTAAAACAATACCGCCCGCAGACGAGCTCCAGCGTCTTGACGAACGTCAAGATGCCATACGGACACACTTGTCGAACATGCGCGCAGCGTTACGCACGGTACGAGAAAGACATCAAGCATTTCTAGATTTCATAAACAAATCTACTGATCCAGAAAACGACAACGCAGCCTACATGGACTACATGCAACAGTCCAAAATCGAGGACGCAACTGTTGCTGCCGACAACCTTATACACGTACTCCATACTAATCTAGAAGAGGCTTGCGCACGCCTTGAAAGATTGCGGTCAACAATCGCACCCAATCAGCAGCAAGAACACGATCGAAGCCAACACGAACTGGAAGTGGAGGCAACTCCTCAAATTGGGGACTATGAAAGGACACAGCCGCACTATCCCCAAATGACTTCGAGGGACATCCCAAGTTATAACGCAGCAGACACCCACTATGCCTTATTAGGTAATCAGCACGCAGCAGGCCAACCAACGATTCAGCTGGGCAAATTAAACCCTCAAACCCTTTGCAGGAGATATCACGCAGTTTCAGCGTTTTTGGCACGCATTCGAAGTTCGCAGTCCACAATGATTCCTCAATCAGCGCAACTTACAAGTTCCTCTACCTGCAAAGCTTGCTTAAAGGGGAAGCGCAAATTGTGTTGCAAGACATGGACCCAGATGAGTGCAACTATTAACGAGCTAGTATGCGCACTCAAAAAGGTACGACCGGCCTCACAAAGACCGTGCAACACTCCATAAACAATTACACAACAGCTACGCCAGCCGGTAATACGGGAACAGATTTACGCAACACATGGTTTCGCCTGTCGGGCATTCTTCGAGGTCTTCGCAAATTCTAGGATTTTCGCACAGTGCTACCGATACTCGATCTCGTAAGAAGCAACTTCCCCTTCAGAAGTACAAGCAGAAGCTACACGATTTGGAATTTCCAGTCGGTGCAGATTTCGACTTACATCAAATCATGCATCATCTGGACAACATCATTGCCTCGAAGGAGAAGTATGAAGACACTACGGCATTGAAAGACAGTTACTCAGTAAACAACACAAGTAGCTGTACTCAACGCCCGAGATCCCGGTCACAGTCACCATTACGAGAACTGAACTGCTGTGCATTTTGTGGAGCGCGCACGCATAAAACACGCGACTGCACAGTCAATATACCAGCTGAAGCGCGCACCAATATCGCCAAAGTATTCAATCTTTGTTGGAGATGTCTGAGCCAAGGACACTCACGTCGCAAATTGCCGGTACCCAGCTTGCAGACGCTGCTCAGGAGAACACCACGAACTCTTGTGCAGGCATCAGTCACGCAGTGAAAGGCAGCGCCGTAGTCCCCGTCAGCACGACGGCGGTACGACTACGAACGCAACAGGGGCAACTATCGTTCACCATCACGGGACAGATATTCATCTAGAAGTCCCTCACAGGAAAGATACAGAAGATAGCTACACCGACAGTGAGCGCTCTCGATCTCCACCGAGAGTGAATCGTCGTCGCGACTATACTCCAAGGGCTCACTCTCCAACAAGGCGCTACACTCGCTTCTCTGGTAGAGTAACATACCATTCACCGCCTACAGAGCACGTGTCCCACAGCCCCGTGAGGGACAGACAGTCCGGTCAACGCTTTTCTTCCCCACATCCTACTGCCTTTCAACATCAGGCACAAGAATCGGACGTAGAGCTAGAACAGCTCAATCACTGGCCGGGGCCTATGCGAAGCACCGCAAGATCAAATCAACGCCAAGTGTCTCTAATTTGCGTCATGTATTGATGGGCTGTGTCCTAAAGGACGCGGCAAGAGCATTCAACCATGGCGCATGACGCATAAAAACTTGGAAAAAGTGGTGTTGTTTTTTATCTAGACTCAGAGAGACAAAGAGTGATCTCATTAGTCGAGGAGCCCTATCACTGTGAAATGCGACGCGTCTACGGATCTATCCTTAATGCTCCGGAGCAACCAACAAACCAGAAAAAGCGCACCTTCATCACCTTTGGAGGTCACGAAACCTCAGAAATGACAGGTGTGGTAGAGGTGAACCTGCTCGACGCTAAGGATCGCATACTCAAAGTCCATCTCACTAGCAAAGACACAGTAACATTACCTCAAACTCCTCCGTAACTCTCAAACGCAGATGCCATGTTTATCAGAGATAATTGTCTACCGATTCCAGCGTGCGTTACACCCTACCCAATATTGCCAGACATACTCGTTGGCATCGACAACTACTGGGACGTTCTTTCACAAGAACCCGTTTGTTGTTTGTCTCCATCGGGTATGGTACTGACATACACAAGGTTCGGTACCGTCGTGTCGGGCAATTCGGTTTTTCATCGGGATTCCGAAGAGCCCAAAAACCGACGAGGTACACGTAACTTTCGACGCAGACGATGAAATCGCACGACGATTATGGTCTCTTGACACTCTAGGTATAACAGACAGTAACGATCCTAAAGCTGACAATGACTCAACGATCACATCCTAAACAAATTTTATAGTACTTCTCAGCTTATTAACGGCATTCTTTACGTGCAATTTTCCTTGGAAAGATTCCCACCCAAAACTTTTGGATAACAAACAACTAGCGTACTGTCGTTTGGTTAGTCAGTATCAACGCCTCCGTAAGACTCCCTCCGTTTGGAAACAGTATATCACTGTAATCGAGGAATACCTGAAAGCTGGGTACATAGAGGAAGTAGACGAACACGTCTTCGACAACCATCGCGTATATTATATCCCACACCAGGCAGTATACAAAGAGTCCTCTTCGACAACCAAACTTCGCATTGTCTTCGATGCGTCGTCGAAGACCCCGGGGTGCTCCCAGTCTTAATGACTGTAGTACAAGTGGAACAGTGAGTGCCCAATCGGCAATAGGGGAAGGCTGAAAACGGTGAAAAACCAAAGTTTCAACTGGGAGGAGTAATGCATATCATTCGATAGCATTTTTCACGGGGAATCTAACGGGGCACATCTCAGTTCTGCGAGTTCATCTGGAAATGCAAAAAAATCTGATCTTTCCACAAGGGCATGACGAGGAGGCATTTTCACAGCCACAGCACGGCGGAAGCGCTCGTCTACAAGCAAGTATATCATCTTATTTCTACACACAAGTAAGCGTACTCTACAACAGTGAAGAGATTTCCCCGCTACCCCCCTCAGATTTCGGAAAAACCTTCGCTCAAACATTGGAAAATTTCACCAAATAGGCTAACTGTCCTGCTGAAAAATGATCTATGATTTCCATTTGAACACGAGAGGAGGAGTTGTTGAGCGCAGTCATGTACATTTTGAGTCATTTAACGCGCCGCTATGGAATAGGGACCATGAAATCTGGAAAAAAGCAATCGATCCTTTCACAATACAATGGACCATGTTGAATACGCGGCGCGTTCTGGAGCAACTACTGAGACCCATCTCTCTGTCGTGACGCCCACACGACTTCTTCATCGCAACTTACGTACCGTGATCTCGAGTGATCTCCACGCGCAGCCGCCCCAATCAAGGAAGGAGTATCGACAAATGGGCACTGAATATTCGACGCTGCGTAGGACGGAATTTTTGGGCCTAGCCGAGCATTGTGGCTACTTCTCTTCGTCTCGTTTTTCTGTGCTACGTTTGGACTGTCCCCACACGCCTGTTGGCGTCCTCATCGTTTACTGTCTATATTCTCGCTACCTCCAGTCGGTCCCCTGTTGTGGCAGTTCGGTTGCTGTCCTGGAGCAACCCTTACTAACGCATCTGCCTACTTATATTC